TCGTCCTTGACCAGCCCGAAACGCCGTATCATGCTGACGTTTTGCAAGGCGACGACGTTGTTCAGGCCGGAATAGCCAATTCGGCCGGACAGCATGGCCAGCTGGGCAGCATCGAACTGGAGCGACTGCGTGAACCAGCTGAATCTCTCCCAGCTCAGCCGGGCATCGCCATATCTGATGACCACGTTGCGCCGCGCGCGAACCACCTCCTGCACAACCCACACCCGCGTGAACCAGCTGGTCTTGAGCATTCTCTTCAGGGCACGAGCCCCCCCAACTGGTATCTGATACTCTGGCAGCTTGATATGGCCGCCTGCGCGGCGAAGTCGGCCGACGAGAAACATGCGGTCGACGAGTGCGGTGGCCAGGCGCGCCGTCTTGGAGCGCCCCAGCCAAACAACCACTTCACTGGCGTTTTCATAGATGCGCGGCATGAGTGGGAGTTGGTTCGTCTTGTCCCCCTCGATGGCTTGGTTGATACAGATGTAGTCTATCCAGACGGTCCTGGTCCTGTAGCACGACCGAAGAGCGTGCAGCACTTCGAAGGCGGATCGAGTCACTGGCAAACGCTGGCCGTTCACCGTGATTTCGTGATCCGCGCCGGTTCGTCCCCAGCAGTACGAGACTGCAGTATACGGCAGCTCGTCGGCGATAAAGTGGCATCTTAGAGAGCACCGAATCGGTCTGTCACCTGTGCCCGGTAATATAGTGAGGAGGCGAAAATGGCGCGCTCCGGACTGGACCTCATCTATGTACAGGTCATGTTTTCCGCTTGGAAGAGCCCTACGGGCCGCGATGAAATCCAGAATTCCTCCGTAGTAGACTATCCCGACGCGTGTTATCCCCGACAAAGCCACTGAAGCAGCAAGTTCAAACGCTTCCATGCAGACTCTAAGCCCGTAGAAGATAGGCGAGGCATCCAGCTTGGTCCAAAGCGAGGCCTGGTTGGCGGGCTCGCCGCTAGATGTAGTGTGAGATAATGGTCGATATGCCTCACTTTGAGCAACAAGAGCGAGGGATATCACAACGGACGGGCCAGTCTTGACCAGCACGTTGAGTAAAGCTATTCCTGTGGAGTACCAGACGATCGACCAAAAGCTGTTGTGCTTGTTCTTCCCAACCGCCTCCAGGTGGACTTCGCCGAACTCGAGCGACGGCGCAATCAGGACCCAAAAGTACCGAGGCGTTAGAATTCGTATCCGCGGCCGTCCCGTGCCGTAAGACCAGAGGAGGAGAGCACAGTGGCACACCAATGCCGGGTTCATCCAAAAGAAGCGTACGGCGATCCGTCGCAACAGCGCTGGTGCCCGCCGTGTATATCCTGCAGACAAGATCGGCCAGCCAAGCGATCGTCTAGTTCGATATGCGAAGCTCAACAAGAAGAACCCCGCGAGCAAGACATCTCTGTAGCGGTCGGGGAGAGTGTCGCGCCGGTCCTTTCCTACAAACCAGCCGAGCAGCCATGTAAGTGTGCCGAGGACGTCCGTGAGGATCGACACGACAACATACTCGACGCCACCTGCAAGCGCCAGCAGGAACAGCTTGGGGAGGAGAGGGGCATGTTCTTCCAGAGGCGACGGGTATGAAAATAGACAGAGCTCGGTGAAATGAAGAAAATACTCGCCGCTGCGAAAATAGTAGGGACGCATGCCACTAAAATGAGAAAAGTGTGTGTGAACAGTGAAAAATGACGGCTGTGGTTAGAAATTGCGTGTAAGTGACGAGATGCCAAGGCGGCGGCAATGGTGACATTTTAAAGGGTTCCCCGTCCGGATGTTGTGCATTTGCCTTGTCATCGGCATTGATGCCGGGGCCTCGTGTTGTTGTATGTATGCACCGCCCCCCATTGTAGCGGCTGCAAAGGCCTGGATCATCAAGGGGCTGAATGAAGCTGAACGAAGCTGAATATGGGTTTATCTATTTTGCCAACCTTGCCGGGGGGGGGCTGAGCAGGCGCATCTCGGAACCAGATTGCCGGGCGTCTGGAACTATCGACTGCTGCCACGGCCAAACTACCGACAGAATGGTTAGTCTGCGCTGTTCATTTCGGCCAAATCAAGCGATTGATGTAAAGGTGTCTGAAATGCCATCGACTGTTAATGGTGCCGTACAGTCGGCGACGCAGCCGATTATCACAGACATGCGCAGGATAGTATGCATTTGTCGCTACGGGGAGGAATTGGGTGGTTTGCCGTGGTCGCAGGGAGACAATGACGAAACTACTCCGTAGTTTACTTAGTTACTACTCCGTACTTAGTGCGTATCTTTGTATGGCCTGTCACTTCGCGACAACGAACCGTCAGCCGGCAAACTCAAAACTGTCAAGCCGCACAATTATATCATTCACAACCACACGCGCGTTCCTCAAGCATGCCGCCATTCGCCCCCGTCAAGGACATTGACCACCTCGTCCTCACCTGCGCAGACGTACCAGCCACCATAGACTGGTACACCCGGCACCTAGGCATGACCCTCGAGACCTTCACCTCGGAGGCCGACCCGTCCATCACGCGCAACGCCCTCAAGTTCGGCACGCACAAGATCAATCTGCACCAGCGGGGGAGGGAGTTCGAGCCAAAGGCCCAGACGGCGCTGCCGGGAACCGCCGATTTGTGCTTCTTGCTGGATGACCACGTGGACATGGATGACGTGGTGAGGCGGTTCGGGGACCTGGGGGTGCAGGTTCTTGAGGGAGGGGGCATCGTGGGCAGGACGGGGGCGAGGGGGAAGCTGAGGAGTCTGTATGTTCGGGACCCGGACGGGAATCTGATAGAGTAGGTTTTGGACGTGGTTGTACGTTTGTATGTGCTGCTAATTTGTGTGTTTGGTAGGCTGTCGCAGTATGCGTGAACAAGTTGGGGGGCTGGACCGGACTGGACTGGGGGGTGGGAAACGGTAGATTGGGTGCAGATAGAGTTGTCGATTCATATTTCCACGGGAATTCAAATATGGTCTATTTTGTCATGGGGCTATTGGAATGGGCAGGTTCACGGGGTGGTCGAGGGCGAGCCTATGGGGAGACGAGCCAAGTTTGCAGAGTTGATGCGTTCGCCAGATCCAACGATACTAGAATACTGTCGCTCCCTTTCACGGACCTTTTTCGAGCTTGCAACACTCTAGCTGGCGATGCAGAGTTTCGCGCTTACTTTACATCACTCTGCTCTTCGTCGACAGGCTGCTGGCTCGGTCACGAAACTAGCGCGCACGCTGCATGATCTTCTTGCTGGATGCACGGGGGACGTTTTGGCTCATCGAGGAATGTCTCGCCTGGCCAGCATCGGGAACTTAACTATTCGGCTTCTCGGGGAATGCCTCACTGATATGGTAGAGCCAGGGATGCAAATCCACCTACAGGGCCTCTCGTCTGATGATGCCCGCGTAGACTGTTATGCCAAGCACACGTTGCCTGGCGACCCGGCAAATCGACTTGGTCTTAAAGTAACTTATAATGAATGTGGACGGCAACTCTCACAGCTCGTTTATTCGTGCTGGAGGCATTGCAACTGTCAAAGATGTGAACACTCTGGTTGACCTGCTCGATGGTATGGAGGACATTGACATTGGTCAGCGACCGCGATGTCAGATACCCCTAACAGTATGTGGTAGCCACAAAGAATGTTCCACGTAGCAGGTAGTCCATCCGTCTACACGCATATAAAAAAGACTAGTTAGAATCGAAGGTGGGAGCTGGTCGTCATGCCCCAGGAGGTGTAGTGGTTCTTTCGGGTCACATCGTCAAGCATTGGCTCGCAATTTGAGGACATTTGAAGGATAGTGAAATTGACCAAAACGGACCTAGAGTACCTACGCAGTGTTTATAGGTAGATACTCTTATTTTACCATTGTGTTTTCTTCCTTAGACTGTCCCGAAGTAAAAACCGATTGGTTTGCTGCTTCCGCAGACAAAGCACACATTTTGAACAAAAAGAGCTACCCGAGTAATGTAATTGCTCCTGCAACTGTCGCCGAGCCTGGCCGACCACGATGGTTCCCCGTTAGGTACACTAGAGTGAGTGCTGGATCTTTGGAGAAGAAAAAAAAAGGTTTGTGTTAGACAGATATCCAAGGCAAAAAGTAGGTATCTCCCCCGGAAAGGCTCGAACTTTCAACCTCCTGATTAACAGTCAGACGCGCTAGCCAATTGCGCCACGGAGGACCGTTACTTGTTACAAAAGTCAGCGCCAATTAGATACATAAGGTTTCCAGAAAAACCGGAGCCTCTCTTTTTCCACTGATAGCGTGCACCTGGCAATAGCCATTGGCTCAGGTATTCCACATCCCTCTATTAGTTCTGAACATTCGATTTGAACAGCATTGTCTGGTGTCCCTACTCATAAGCCTCTTCTGGTGCCACTGCTCGTTTCTTTGTTTTATAAGCGCACATGAGTGTTCAACAGTTGGTGCACACAAAAATAGTCTTACCCTAGATACAATTGTTGCGTTTCAGGAGAGTCACCCAAACCAGTGTCCTCCTACTTGATATACAGAAAATAAATTGCAGATAATTAAGCAAACCACTTGAGGCAAATTACGGTTCATTGCATTGAGTTACTGAGACATTGCATCGTCCGGTGGCATATGCGGTGTCGCAACCCTAACGTTGAAGACCGTGCGGTCAATAGCATGAGCTCATCGGAGATAGACGTGTGTTCCATTGAGGTACATGTGGTCAAGAACCTCATAGTGATTGATGCTCGTGCAGGATGTACTTGTCAACGGAAGTCCGTTTTGGTCCTGTAATTGCGCGAACCTGAGGTGTGCAACAGTACGGTTGCATGTATCCCTTGGGTGAGCTTAGCTGCGTGATGATAGAGCGCCTGTGAGAATGCGGTACAACAGTTCACAAGAGCTTTTTGAACCAAGAGCGGATTAGTGGAACAAGCACTGGAATGGTTACGCATAGGCATAGAATACTCCAGAGTAGAAACACTCGAGTCCATCCCCATGCCTCATGTATGTGCTGCTCCTGGGGTATAATAACAAGCCGGCCCAGTAACAATTCCTCCGTTGCACAATTGGCTAGCGCATCTGACTGTTAATCAGGAGGCAAGGAATATATTGCTGCTCCAAATACATTATAAGTAAAAACGTTACTGACATATCACAAAGGTTGAAAGTTCAAGCTTTTCCGGGGGAGATTTAATTTGTGGGATCGTTCTGGCTGCATTGGCTCTTAGTACATAATAAAATCCCCGATAAGCAACAGTTCCTCCGTGGCGCAATTGGCTAGCGCGTCTGACTGTTAATCAGGAGGTTGAAAGTTCGAGCCTTTCCGGGGGAGATTTGTTTTTTTTTGGCTCTATTTCTGCTTGCTCTCTTTGTGCCAAGGTAAATTCCATTTGCTGACTTCCATGGTCCTGGTTCTTTTTTACATTTCTACTTTGAATAACACAATTCATGGTATTTCGCATTTGTGCGCTGGTGGACTCATCCCACGTGCATTATCAACGGAGCACTTCGTGTTGACGAACAGGATGTGGCTATTGATGTGGCATCTTTCATGACTCACGAGCAAAGAGGAATATAATGTTCATTCCTCTCACGCTACGAGGCACTTTGGGTGTGCGTATAAGTAGTGAGTTATCATACAACGTGACACATCTAAACTAATCTTAGACCGAACCGCCGGTCTGGCGTATATATGTTGCGAACACCAACCTTCTTTTCTGCCCGGTTCTGGGGCAGCGATCAGCACATTCGTGCATTTTTACGTCTGTGCTGAGAACCGGAAGAATCACATCGAATCCTTCTCAATCCAGAAAGAATCCGTTTTCGCTCCCCGTGTTCCCCGTACAGCCACGCCCCCAATCAAGCAAGTCATTACTGATCTAGTGAACTCTCACTTCACACCGAGTCATCCCACAAGTGGAGAGTTGACGCCACGAGAAAAGCATCTAAATACCCGCACCAATGCAAGCAGCCCCCTCGATTCTTCCGCCGCCAGTGGGCAGAGGGGCAGCGGGGGCCTGGCAGAGTGTGGGGGTGTCTGGGCCTGGGAAATCAATTGCAGCAGAACCACTGCGTCATTGTTTCGCGAAGTTCGAACGTGGGAGGAGGGGCAGGCAAAAAGTGTGAAGTGTGTGTGTAACGAAAGTGCAGCACGATGCATGGAGTTGTGGGCAACGATGTAACTGACTGCAGTTAGGCACTTAATCAGTAGATAAGTACGGAGTACATAAAGACACTCGCGACCTCTTCTGGAAGCTCTCTGCGAACTACCAAAAAACTTCAAATCCAAAATCCCTTCATTGCTGTCTGCTGCACAGAAATCGCCTCTCTTCACTTCCTAACTGAACCTTCATCATGGCTGCCGCCAAGCACACCACGTGAGCTTTCTGACCTCGCCCTACCAAGAAGCTTGTCCCCAAATGAACGAAACGTTGCTAATTCCTTCTCTTCGTCCAGCCGCACAGTTGCTCTCAACACGGGCGACAAAATCCCCGTTGTCGGCCTTGGAACATGGCAATCTAAGCCCAACGAGGTCCAAACGGCTGTTGAAGCTGCCCTCAAAGCTGGTTACCGCCACATCGACACCGCCGCGGCGTACGGCAATGAGAAGGAAGTCGGCGCCGGCATCAAGGCGTCCGGCGTGCCCCGCGGAGACATCTGGCTGACCACCAAGCTGAACAACCCTGACCAGACCCGTGCCGCCGAGGCGCTTGACGAGAGCTTGAAGAAGCTGGGCACTGACTACTTGGACCTGTATCTCATGCATTGGCCTGCGGCGACGGATCCCAAGGATGATAAGAAGTCGGTACCGGACTGGACCTTTGTTGATACCTGGAGAGAGATGCAGAAGCTGGTGGGGACGGGCAAGGTGCGCAACATTGGCGTGTCGAACTTTGGCATTAAGAATCTAGAGATTCTGTTGGGCGATGCCAGCTGCAAGGTATTTTTCTTCTTCTTCTTCATTCCCCTCCTCTTGCATCCTGTGCTCCATTGGCCGCTCAGTGACATGTCGGTCTTATTTTCATAATTGCTGAGCCTACTGAATAGATTGTCCCCGCTGTCAACCAAATCGAGCTGCACCCCTGCAATCCCTCCCCAAAGCTCGTCGCCTACAACACCTCCAAGGGCATCCACAGCACGGGCTATTCTTGCCTCGGGTCTACCAACTCGCCTCTCTACACGAACGAAACCCTGCTGGGCATTGCAAAGGCCAAGGGCAAGTCTCCCCAGCAGGTTCTCCTCCTGTGGGGCCTGCAGAAGGGCTGGAGCGTGATCCCCAAGAGCGTCACGCCATCGAGAGTCCAGGCCAACTTTGAAGTTGACGGATCGGGTCTGACAGCTGAGGAGGTCAAGAGCATTGATGGCATCAAGGAGCGGTTCAAAGTCTGCGACGATGGGTGGCTGCCCGTCAAGGTATTTTTCGGAGACGACGAGTAGTTCCTGGGTAATGCAATGCAATGTAGCAGAGCCAAGATTCAACCACCACTGAGTTAATCCTATATATATATGCCATTGAAACCAAACACCTAAAAGCAACAGCACAATTTAAACAGTGTCTATGGGATAATGTACATTTAATCTACCCGGGTATCGTGACACATTTTCCGCCCCCTCTACCCCCCTCCCCCCAACCAACCAACCAACCAACCAACCAATCAATTCTCTGGCTTGATCTTCCCTTTGTCCTACATTAGACCAGATCTCTTTATCTCCTCCCCCGCCCAATCCTATAACTTCGCTTTAATATCATTTTCCCTCTCGCCATCCTCTCTCAACACATTAGCCACCTCTGTTCGTATCCTCTCTGCCAACTTCCCGGCCTCCTCCTCGTCCAGTTCCTCCCTCTGCCCTTTCCCAAACATCGTAAAGCTCTCCCTCAGCTTCCCGCTTGCGCGGATCTCTGGCCTCGGAATAATATGATAATGCATATGGGGGACGACCTGTGCGGCGGCCGCCCCATTGTTTTGCACGACGTTCCAGTCCTCCACGCCAGTTGCTCTAGCCAGCGCGGCGGACAGGATGCGCACGTAGTGGCCTAGCTGGAGGGATTCTTGGCGCGTCGCATCCGTGAGCTTCTGCCGGTGGGCACGCGGGCAGAGCAGCAGGTGGCCGTGGGAGAGGGGCATGATGTCGAGGAAGGCGATGAGGAGGGGCGTGGAGAGGACCACGAAGGATGCTGGCGTGGTGACATCGGGATCGATCGAGGCGGGGGGGTCAATGGGATCGTATGGCGCGTGGATGGATGGGATTGCGCAGAAAGGGCAGTTCTCGAGGGGCGGAGGCGATGGGTCGAACATTGTGAGGGTGTTGGTGATGCTGTTGTTGGCGTCTTCGTGTTATATAGTTATGATTGACAAATGAGGGTGTGAGGATGAGGAGCAGGAGCTTGGTGCTCCGGGCGGGAGAAGACCAATCGCTTGTGGTGGTTGCAACGATATATATTAATGATGCATAGATTCTTGCTGGATCTTTTGCTGGGGTTTTTTGTATTAGGAGGAGATGCGTATAGGCTGGAGAGCGCAAACACGGCAAGGCAAGGCACGCGATGGAGTCGTAAATTTGTATGCCGAGGTTGGATGCTGGTGTCTGCCGGCGTAGTGTTGAGTGGAGGTGTGGGTGTGTCTCCCGGCTCCGGTCCAGCGAGCCGGAGTTGCATCGGTCTGAATCAACGGTACTCCGTACGGAAAACACAGTGAGTTAGTTACCGTCGAGCCGAATTCGGAATACAGGCACATATTTTGCTGAAAGATCAGAGCAGTGTGTATGTATAGGTGTCGGCGCATAATATATACCATAGCTGAGCCTCCAAAATTAGACTTCACGGCCAATACTACTGTTTTTTGCGTCGGCTTTTACTGAACCTTTACTCGGGACTTTGCTGAGGATCATGGGGGTAATCCGCCCGTGATTTCTGTATCTGTTTTTCTGTATTGTCTCGAGTACAAGTTGCAGTCATCATGCGAGAAAATCCAGCTGGCCTTTTGAACTGAACAAACTACGCGGCTTGTGTCCCAAGATTGCAAGGCTTCATCGCCATCTCTCTGGACACTTCGAAGTACGAATCACCTTTGGAATCCGGCAATTGCAATCGTGTCGCGATTGACCAACTGCCCAGTAAGAGCTGCTTGAGTACCTTTTTGTTGGCTGAGCAGCCAGAGAGCACGGCAGAGGATCTGGGGGCAAACCAAACGAGTCTACGTGGTACCGTGAAGGTGAATTAAGAGCCCAACAGCTTGAAATCGGTGTCCGGCTCAGTGGAGAGCATGAAAATGAAAAGGTTAGTACTAGAGTCGTAACACGAAGACGCTGGCTCGCCTGGCCCGAAGAACAAGTGTTTCCAGCTAATTTATTTTATGCTGGACATGGGTGTGAGTTGAGAAGATATTTATTACTCCGTACAGAACATGGCATGAGCCTACCAGGGGTTCCTTTTCAAACATTCTATACCCGCTCTATCCTGCGCAACAAATTTTCTATGTTTATGACACGCCATCCTCCCGCCGGTTGCTCCCTCCGGCCCACTCTTCTGACAGTCATGACGACGAGGAGGAAAAACAAAAAACATTGATGATATGGCGATTAGGTGCGCTGTTGATCTTTTCAGGTTCTGCGCCCGGACCATTCAGAAACCAAGCGCCGAAGTCCGCTTCTCTCTGGCTGAAGTGGCCCAACCTCGTCACCGAAAAGTAGCGCGTACAACATCCTTGGTCCTATATTAATATTATAGGTTGACAGCGATCTCCCTGTATTGCAGCTCGCAGCCTCTTTCTTGATGTCGTCCCATCTTGGTTTCTCTGTTATATCCCTGATCATAATGGCTGTGCCTGGCGATTCTGCGATTTGGCGGTTCTCGGGCATTACGATTTTCTTCATCGGACAGCCTTCGATGTGATAGATTAAATTTCCAGTCCTTGCCCCTGGCGGTACGAGTGCAAGTTTATACGGTGTGAAGTTCGAAACGAAAGCATTGCTGACAATAGCCAAACGCGGTTCATTCGCCGTAAAGCCAGAGAAAGGTGTTAGGCCCTCGTCGACATGACCCTGGCGTGGCGTGCCTCTGTGGCTCTGAGATTTTATCCCGTGTTTATCGAGGACACATAACTTTGGTAATTTGTGACGTAGATCTCTAAACACCATGCAGTTTAAAGAGCGATATTCTCGCCCGGCGTCCTGCAGATGGTCGCCCTT